GCAATTGGGTTGGATACATTTCACATGGAACTGCGAACGTTCTAATCTCAGAATACTCTATCATAATGCATAATATCCTCAGCTCCTGTCCCTGTTGCAGCCGGACGCCGTTTCATGCTCAGGTTGATCATATGCGTGCCAGAGGGCCCTCCGGTATTCCCAGTCCCTCGACTGCCACGATGGACGCCCGTGACAGAAAGCCCAGGAGGAGCAAGTATCTGAACCCCAGATAGTGGGATAAGAGGTTGTGGTAAGGGTGGAGGAGGTGCGCACGTGGTGATAAGTTGCCTGCTGGATTCAGGACCGGCAGAAACTAAAATATTTCTCGCTCGAGCACTGGCAGAGTTAGCAGAGGAGAGGAATTCTAGATATGAAGTTCCTGATTTCGAAAAACCCCTCAAGTCACCTGGAGGGGGGTCTTCATAAAAGTAATCATGAGAGAGAGCCTGGTCCGCATCCAGGCGCTTGGAAGGGTCTAATACCTAAATTAAAAAAGAAGTGTAAGAGGATTTCTAAAAATCAGTAGATCTTTTGATAAAAATGTGAGCTATCCTAGGTCGTCCAAAGAGAAGAAAGGATTGATAAAAAAATTTTCTGATTCCAATAATATGATCGTGTATAAAATAGCCTTGATTCCCAAAAGGTTTTCTAATCCAAGTTGGATTGTAGTTTCGACCTTGCCTAGGAGTCAAGCGAAAACTTTATCAGTCGCGGATGCCAGTGGATCAGAGACAATATGACTCTCAATGCAGTCAACGATTTTTTCGACAGATTTGTTGTTGCCATTACAATATGTATCGAGTAGATTATCTATCATAGAAATGAAGATCAAGATTATGTGACCTTGTGTTTGGTCGCAGTCTCCTTAGGCTGTATAGAGTTGGTTTGACCTCGGTTTTGCAGCTTGTTCGGGGAAATAGGGAGACATTATAGAGCGTAGCTAGTCCTGCGTCCTCTGCCATGGTATTCATTATTATTTCCAACATCGGACAGTTAACTTATTAAATCCCCTAAGCTGAAAATCTTCATGAATACTATGGTGAAGGATGCAGAACCAGTTACGTTTCACAAAGTCTACCTGTTGTCTCGATCAGGCTGAGAAAACGAGGTCAAGCCAACGCTATAGTTGGTCTTGAAGAAAAATCGAGTCGTTTTGTCTGGATAAATGAAAAACGGACAGTTGAAGTTTACTCAAGAAAATAAACAGACCTTCTGATTTGAGTGTGAGGCGGAGTGGTATCGTTGCCACTTTAAGCATAAGACAGTTTTGAATATGATTTAAGTGCTAACGAGACTTAAGATGAAACTGCATTCAAGGTAGAACAAAAGGGCTTAGTAAATGGTAGATTCCACTAATTGGATTTTGAAAATTCGACTACTACTTCATAACTAGAGTTCCATTTAGAAATGCTTTCTATTCGGCAGTACGAAAATAATCGCTAACGTATTTTCATGATAAGCCAAGCTAAATTAGATAATCACATAAATATATAACTTCATTTATGAGGATGTACAATCTTTGCATACCAGAAGGCGGTCAATCAAATCAACAGCAGACGGACAAGGAATCTTAGTTGTAAGACGCTCCTTGACATGACGCCGAATATCCTGAGGAAGGCGCGCCTCACGAAAAGTCTCTAGTCGCTGGACACCTGGCCAGACATCAGGTGTAATTGACCCGCAGAGATTGATAATCAAATTAAGCTGATTTATCTCATTGTCACCCTATATTTAAAAAAATTAATAAAAAGAACAGTAAGATAATTCATGCGTAATTGATACAACATTTAAATTGCAAGATGAGGTCAATCTCAAAGGTTAAATCCATAAAATGGGGTAAGCATTAGATACCATAAAGGTTGTTTGATCTTGTTTTCGCAACTTAGTCATATTGGTAGGAAGACTTAGAGGAACGCACCTAATACGGAGTCCATTGTCTGCATGATCATTTCCAAAGTAGAATCGTGGAAATGATATATTCCCAAACGTTTCGCCGGCATCGTCAATGAGTATCGCCATTCTTAGCACCATATAACAACTCGTCAAAGAGACAAGTGAAGCCGATCCTTTGACCAAACGTGTGCTAAACAATAGTGGTAACTCGTATTCTGCCCTGGGTTATTCGCGTTACCTTATCATCCTATCATACTTTCACTATTACAAGTTTACCTTGTTTATTAGATATAGTGTGGTGTGCTCTTTTGAGCGACATTACACCTTCAACTGTCGTTCTCACCCCACCCCCCTTCATCCTTGTGTAGGGAATGTTGATCAGTGCTTCATTCGTATGTAATCCTTCTTCCTAGTCTTATCCCAGTCTCTCTTACTCCATAAAATCCGTCTGCTCTATCCCTTGTTCTCCTATTTCACTCGATTCCTGCCATCACATCTGTCCTACTCGAGGCGTTATTCGCCCTTCCTGCGTCTGGGTGACTAATTCGATGCGCAAGTCTCCTAGTGTCATAGTCACCCCTTTGCTACATGGACCACGTCTCTGGTATAATAGACCTATCGTCAGCCAAATAGCTCCGGTCCCCGCCGTCTCTATCCCTAATACCATATCTATGACTTGCCATGCCCTAGTCTCTTGTGTGCCAAAACCACTAATGCTGTGGTACAGCTTGTTTTCATTTTGTTCAATGTTGAACCACAACATTTGTGGGTTGGTACACAATAGATTAGGGCATATGAAATTATATACTTGATATTATAGATGTATACATGAGCAAGTTGGAAAGGGAATTCGAGAAGTCACCACTGCAACCGAGTGCTCATTCGATACTTGGATGACTACTTTGCACTTTGCTCACATGGTAAGGAAAATTTAAGTGAATTCCTCACTTTCATTAACCAACTTGATCAAAAAATTAAGTTTACAATGGAGGTGGAGGAAGATGAACGACTACCCTTTCTGTATATTGAGGTTATACGCTCCAGAGACACTCATGAGGAAACTATACAGAAAGAATTTGCATACGGGAATAATCCTTAATTTCCAGTCTCATCACAACTACAGACTGAAGATCGGAATACTGAGGAGTTTGATCATCAGAAGCATACTACTAAGGGACAATGAGTTCTGGGACGAGGAGCTAGAAAATCTGACACGGATTTGTCTATCTAATGGATACCCCAAACATTTATTGAGAAAAATGTAGTGGTTATAAAGGGCCGATTTCAACTTGGATTTTATGAAAATCAGATTAGAAATGAGGATAACAACCAACAATGGATCTGCTTGCCCTCATCAAAACTGAGCCAACAATTGCGACCATTATTAAGAAAATGAAATATCAGGGTGATAACAAAGGAGAAGAAAACACTTTTTACCGGTCTACCAACGCAAAACGAGAAGACGGAAAAACTTGAGTGTTCGGGAGTTTATCGCATCAAATGCGACAACTATGAGCATAGTTATATCGGTGAAACAGGAATAAAAATAGGCCTACGAATCAAGGAACATCAAAGACCCTGCAGGAACATGGATACACAAAGATCAGAAATAGCGGAATACATTGCACACACAGGGCACGAAATCGACTGGAAATCGACCGAAAGGTTGGCTGCATGTGGTGCAAATACGAGAAAACGGAAGGTCCGAGAGGCCATTGATATACTGACTGAGAGAAATCTTCTGAACAGTAGACCTGAAGAAGGCAGGATCAGCGAAAACTTTGCATATTGCCTAAATAAACTCGGAGAAAACCAGGCAAGAGTAAGATCAGCAAAAAGAAGACGACTGGATCATGGTAATCTGCTTAATTTTAGGAAAAAAGATTGCAAAGGGATGAGAGAGGAAGAATCATAAACAAAGAGGGGACGTCTTCAATGAGCCTTATCAAGACATGTAGAACCACGAAATTTGTGGGTTGACACACA